GATTTCCTTTTTTAATGTTTTTCAGATGATGTGGTGTTGGAAATAGATTAAACATGTAATATATGAAAATGAATGAGATGTGTATGATAACATTTGTCTTTTTACAGCCAACTCTTATGATTGATGATCAATTCATTATTTCTTTTCTTTTCTTACACTTTTTCTTTATCTGCTAGTCACTACTCTTACACAACCTCTATATAATACAGTGTTCAGTGACTAGGTTCAGCAGCTTCCATCTTTGTAATTCTGTCTTATATATTATACTGTCTCTCTTCACTCACTCAGATCACTACAGTGAACAGCTCATTGAAACTAATCTCATCTGATCTCTGAGTGTCTTCAGAGATCAAGATGGCTTGATTTCATATGTCTGTGAATGTTTCAGATAGTTCATCCTCTGTGATCTTCACAATTGAACTGATGTAAACAGTTAAATTCAACTCTGAATTTCTTTTTCTTCTGTGATCTGACTCATGTACAAGTCTGCTGCTTTGAGACTGCTCTTTGTCATGTTGCACCTGCTGTCTGCAGCATGTTATTGTACAACCAGCTATAGTCTCATCACTTATTAAAGTGTGGCATTCATCTGATTTCTTCATTGCTTCTCATTCTTTCCTTATAATCATGAAAAGATTAGAATAAGTGAGATTATCTGATTCATAAGTGTCTATGATTTCTCTTACTTCATGAGACTTTTCAATTATAAGTCTCTTCTTTTTCAACACTGATAATAGTGCTGTGAATAATCATAATTCACTCAGATCTTACATCTTTGCTTTCACAAGTTGTGAATCATTGATTAAGTTGTATAAGATCTGTCTCTCTGATTCTTTCAATGCATACATTTTCAGAGAATATGATTTGAGTATCTTATATGACTCAAATCATCTAGATTGAAACTTCTCAGAACTCTCATTGTGTACAAGAACTCATGTTCTCATCTTGAGACTCAATTTCTTAACAAGTGAGTCTTATATTCTTTTCAATTGAATTGCTCAGTTCAGGAGTAACTTGTTAGCTTTTGCATGTGTGTGGCTGATCTCTTTCAATCTTGATTCCATGTCCACAACTGCTACTGCTGCATTTGTAACTGCTGTTTCTGCTGTGTCTGCAACTGCTGTTTCTGCTGCATCTACAACTGCTTCCTCCCTCATCTTTTCTGAAGCATTCTCTGAAATGCGCGGATGCAATTCATACAACAGGTAGAATGGTGAACACTTGGAGACTGCATGTTGTCAAATCCACATGGTCAATAGTGCCTGTCTGAGATATTCATCTCATAGTCTTGTAGACTTGCTCACTAGATATTTTGTCAGCATGTTGCTCAAGATTTCATTCAAGTGTTTCATCTTCTCATTCATCTGTGAATGATATGATATTGTTCTACAATGTCTTGTCTGTAACTGGCTCATGAAATGCCTCATCACTTCTTCTATAAGGTTCACACTGTTATCAGTTAGAATCTTACACAGCATTCTATAGTTGACATAGATCTCATCATATAGAAACTTTGTTATTATCTTCTCTGTTATCTCTGAAACTGCTTTCACAACTGGTCAGTCAGTAGTGTAATTAATAGCAGTGATTATTCATTGATTTTCATTTGATGTTCATGGTAATATATCTATGAGATTCACTCTTCATTGTTTGAATGATTGTATCATACACTTCATCTGATGTTATGCTTCCTCACATTCTAACCCTTTCTTAGATTCTTTCATGACCTGGCAATTCAGGCACTTGTGAGTGTATGTCTGAATGTCCTCAGCCATGCTTAGCCAGTATGCTCTTGATTTGAGTACACTCATGAGTCCAGGACTTTCTAAGTGACTGAATTCCTTGTGCATGTGAGTCATCAAGTTGTGTCTAAATGAAGATTCTAGATAGAAAGCTTCTGCATATTCTAGATCACAGTAAAACATAACATCATTTTCACTTCTCACTTTCTCCAGCTTGAAGTTTGAAAGCATCTCTTCTACTACTCTCACAAGACACTTATCATTCAACATCTTGTCATTCTTCAAGTGAGAGATTATAATGTTCACTCATTCTGATTCCTTGTATTCTCTCAGTATATTTAACATGAATGTCTCTTGTGTCTGATTCACAGAATTCTCATTCATGAAATCAGATCTGCAACTGATTGCATTCAGTATCACTGTGTTCAATTCTTTTCAGTATTTGATATGAAGATTATACACTTGAAACTTCAAGATTCAACATGCTAAGCATTTGAAAGGTTTTATTATTAATTATAGATAGACAAGGCTTTTGTGATCTGTGATCACTGTTGTTATATGCCTGTTGTCAATATATCTATCTCATAACATCAGCATATGCTTAATTGCTAGTAATTTCTTTTCATGCACTGAGTAATTGAGCTTGACACTGGATAGTTTTCTACTATCATATGTCACTGAGTGCAGCTTGCTGTTCTTACTCATCTGTAGAAGAGCATCTCTGATAGCTCATTTAAATGTGTCTGTCTTGATGTAGAAAGGTTTATTATGATCTGATTGAATAAGCACTGAGAATGTTGTTACACATTCTCTCAGTGTGAGAAAAGCCTCTTCACACACGGCATTTCAGATGATTGAATAAAACTTCTTCTTTTGCAGATTTGCATTCATTTCTCTTAAGAGATCTGAGAGTGATGCAGATATTTGTGTGAAATCCTTGATAAACCTGTAGTAGTATAAGATCAACTCAAGAAACTGTTATACATGATGTACATTTCTCAGTCACAGTCAATTTACTATGACATTCAATTTCTCTGAAATGAGGTATATACAGTTATCACTTACTATATATTCTATGAACTTCAACTCTTCTATTTCAAACACATACTTGATTGATTTGACATAGAGCTTATGCTCTGTCAGAGTTGTAAGCACTTTATCAAGATACTTCAGATATTCATCATATGAGTTTGAAAAGACTAGAATGTCATTGAGATATATGAGATATGAGATTTCATTCTATTTATGAAGAATTGTATTCATCATCATTTGAAAGATGACAGATGCATTTATCAGATCAAATGACATTGCCAGGAATTCAAACTTCTCTCATTGTGTATTAAACATAGTTTGCAGAACTGACAGTTTGTCTACACAGATCTGCCAGTATTCTGAGAGAAGATCAATCTTTGATAGATATCAGGTGTTTTCAACTGTATTCAACTGTTATTGAATTCATGACAGTGAATATTCATTCTTGATTGTAAGCTTATTGAGTGCTCAATAGTTGATACACATCTGTCACTTCTCATCTGCCTTTTTCACAAATAGAACTGAAAAGCCCCACATGCTTGATGAGAATTGTATAAGACCATGTTCTAGACGATCTGTGATCTGACACTTCTGTTCTTCAAGGTGCATTTGTGACAGAGAGTACACATTCTGGTTGACTGGTTTTGTATCCCCTGTGTCAATCTCATGTATGAATTCTCATTTCAGCAGCAATTCTGATAAAAGATCTGTTCAGAAGATCTTTTCATGCTTCTTCAGAAGCTTCTTCATACACTTATTCTTCTGCATATTCTTTATCTTAGTTTTCTTCACTTCCAGGTCCTGTATAACATACAGAATGCTTTTGAATGAGGTCTTGTGAATCATTCTCTTTACTTGTTAATGTATAAGCAGATTTAATCCTTCTATATCAGAGACATGAAATGTTCTTCTCATATCAGTTGATAGAATTGTATGAACCATTTTCTTCCTATTGATCAATCACATATGACATGTACATCATGAATCTGCAGATGAATCTTTGAAATCAATTGAGTCTGAGAATAAGATTATATTTCACATTCTGCAGCTCTCACACTCAAATATAGCAAGATCATTCTTCAAAGTGCAAGAGAACTCTTACTCTTACAGATGATATCAAATATCAGTTATCAGATAATCTTATATGTCAGAGATTCTTCACTCAGCAGATCTCTTTCAATCTTCAGATTATATAATCATTAATATATTGTGTAGAAGCTTCTATATCTGCTAACACTTTTGCAGCCATCTCTCAATTCTTACTCAAGTGCCCCTTATACATTAACATTTCAGGCCTCAAGGCATTGAGGTGGGCATTCACTTCATCCTCGCTCACACCTCAGTCAGAAGCCTGCTTCCTCTTGACATTCACAGGATTCAGAGAGTCATCTAACACAGGCATCTCTTTCACTTTGAAGACTTTTCATAGAATATCAGTGAGTGTCTCTGAGCTCACTGATTCTACTAGTTTTTTGACTCTCTTGCTTCTCTTGACTGTGCACACTGAGTGCAATCTTTTACATCATGATTTTGATGTCTGCAGTTGAAGCAAGCTCAATACTCATAATATCAAGATTTTCACTCAGAGAATCTCTTTTTTAAGGGATTTGATGCTTTAGTGATGACATTCAGATCTAGATTCATCACATTCAGATATGTGACTTATGTCATAGAAGTCTGATTATCTGTTCTTCACTGAGACATACTCAATTGCAGTATTTTCTGTCATAATTGACTCACTTATTTCTGTACAATGAGAATATTGTATGCTTTCTTCATTATATCTGACTGTGAGATTAAACATTTTCATTTCACTCTTAACTCAGGTGTAAGATCATGAATGAAGATCTGTAAACAGAAAGATGTTGAAAGCTCTTCATTTAATATAAGATAGTGTAAGCTGAAGTGTGTGAAGTATAATGTAAGATCACTCACTTATCTACACTCAGTGAAGTATTCATAACACTTATCTCATATGTTCACTTTCTCAAAGTTGTGTAAGATTCATTTGAAAAACTCATTTCATATTCATAAGAATGAATATCACTTCAAGTCTGTGAGATTCATCTTTTCATCAGTTATTTATAATAACTTCACTTTTCTGTGTAGAAATGCAGCAGATCTTAAGACTTGTTGAAATTTCATTAACTGTCTGTCTGTGAGTTCACATTCAATTCAATAATATAATCACATCTGACTTAGTCAGCTGATTGTAGCATCATTTTTTCAGTTATTATTAAAGCTTGATAGCTCTGACAGATCTCCTGACTTAATATATTTCATACTCAGATTCTCATCCTGCACAGCAGTCTCTGATAATGTATACACTTCTGAAGAGGTTGTGAATAATTGTAATGAGATCTTCAGGTTCAGTGTAGTCATCTGTCTGTGTAAATATTCAATCTCCTGCTGCAGGCCTAAGATCTGATTTTCTCTATTCTTATTGATGATGGCAATTGCATCAGTGAAGCTCTTCATAGTGAATGCTTGATTTACAGTGAATGTCAATTATTGTTTAACTTTTATCTTGACCTGCCACTGTGTATGCAAGGCCTCAATCTCATTTAGAATTCTCATATGTGTACAGAGCTTTGATTTCAGTTCAGCAGTCTCAGCTGCTTTTCTTACTGCTTTGAGTAAACTCTCTGAGAGATTCTGCATACCTTCTGATTCAGGTAGCAGAGAAGAGTGTTGTTCATATCAGCTAGAGAAGATATTCATTTCAGTGATTAGTTTCTGATTGATTGTACAATGTCTATTATTATATTGCTATATTGCTGTATCATTATATGATTTCTGTTATCATTGTACAACTCCGGTGATAGTCACCCTCTCTTTTATCCTTCTTTTGAGTAGAGAGCAGACTTCTTTGAATCTGGTTCATCACTTTCATTCTCTTTCTCACACCTCATCTGTTCATGTCTCATACATGGCATGTGCCTGAGCATGAAGTTTTCCCCTAACAAGTGAAGCAGCATCAATCAGATGCTCTTTCACTCACTGCTCTTCATACACTATCTTTTGAGATGTTTCTAGAACCACACTGGCATGATAACTATGAATCACTTCATGGACAGAATTATCACACTCTGAAGAAGCCTGCACTTCTCACTGGTTTTTAGACATGCTATCAGATGTGATTCAAAGGTTGCTTAAGCCAGTGTATGATTACAGGCATATGCCGGCTTCTTATATATTGAATCTCGTACACTAAATTAATTAGCGGCCACTATGACCCCTTTACATTTGTACGCATACGCTAGTAGTTCGGAAGCGGCCGCGTTATTATCCGACGGTTGTACGTTCTTCCGAACCACACAAGAATAAAAATTTTTCAATTTCAATATCTTTATAATAATGTCTGATCACTGCTGAGCTTCTTATGAGTATTTCTATAACTTCTCTGATCACTTTTTACTGACTGATGAAGCAGAAACACTGCTGCTTATAACTGTATCTTCATTTCTCTCAGCTCTGTCACTGCATCTGATCTTCAGATCAGTAGTCAATTCTCTGTCTTTCTCAGATCAGCTTCTGACTTCAAGCAGTGCAGTCTCTCTCTTTACTGTAAGTCTTCTCATAAGTAATTTCTTACAGACTCTAGCTAACAGTTCTTATAAAGCTTTCAGTATTGTTAGTGTCTTCTGCAGCTCTGTAAGTCTATAATCATCTTCTCTCTGTTCACACAATCTCTGACCAGATATATGTGAATATGCCTAGATTCTCTATTAATAGTTCTCACACTGTGGCGCATTTCTGCAATCTCATTATCAATAAGAGATGAGTCTTCAGATACCTGTAAAATCTAAGTAATCAAGACAATACAAATGTCATGAATTTGTGATAAGAGTTAATCTGAACAGATGAGCTCTCTCTCTGCATCTTAATTATTTTCAAGCTGAATACTTCAGCATAACTGAGAAAGCAGACACAGCTTTATAAGAGATATCTGATCACATACACAGATGATCAGTCTTTAAGACTCTGTTACAACTATATATACTCTGATATTCAGCTTCTCTGAAGTCTGTGCATTTCTAGTAATCTTCATATCAAATATAATAATTATCTGTATCACAGATATAATACTCTCTGCTTCTTTGAAGAGAGAAATTGATAGTTGTGAGAGAATTAAGTGTTATGAGTATTGAGAGTGTGAGTTTGAGTTTTCTTTATTTTTTCTTTATTAATCTTCAAATTGTGTTCACAGCTCTGTTTATTTTCTTATTTTTTAGCTTTAATAAGAATATAATTTCTTCTTCTCTTATATACACTGCAGACTATTTATCTCAGTAGAAACTCATTATCTTATAGACTAGAGTTTATAAATAACAGTATTAATATCTTTATTATAATCAGATTCTTAGTGAAGACTGCATTATTCTGACTTATCAGAATTTATAATATGAAAGTCATATCTCAGTTTCTGCAGATATCTTATCTATCTGAATAATTCTTAAGTGAACTTATTCATCTTATCAGAATACTCTTGTCACTGAACCTTGAATCAGAGCTTGCAATCTCACTTCTCTGAGTCAATAATCTCTTTGACCTGATATTCTCTTTCACTCTCTAGTACTTCACAGATAGAGTGATGAGTCACAGAATTCTCTTCTGAGAATTCCTTATATTCATGAAGTAAAGAGATATGAAAAACATTATATATCTGTAACTCAGATGACAGTTTCAATCTGTAGAACTGTGAACTAACTTTCTTCATAATTTTATAAGACTCTGTCTGTAAGAGATTCAGCTTCTTACTAGATCTCTATATAATAATATTTTCTAGACTTAGTCAGACTTTATTATCTTTCTTGAAACTCTTTGCAATATGCTTGAAGTCATATTATCTCTTTTAATACTCTTAGATCTTTCTCAAGAATTCACAGACTTTCTCTCAGATATTCTGAATTCTCTCAGCCTGTTCACAGACATCATTACACTCTATAGTGTACTCTCATAGATTTATCAAGATTATTCACAGATAAGTCTCAGTAAGCATCTCAAAGAGAGTTTTATCTGTGCTGACATGCTTTGAGTTGTTATATATAAACTTTATAAGTGATAATCAATACACTCAGTCATTCTGATTGTAATTGACAAAGCACTACAGATACTGTTTTAATATACTTATCAGATATTCTGTCTGACTATCTGTCTATTGATAAAAAGTCATACTTAGATCTCATGAGATCTTCAGTATAGTTATCAGATCAGATTAGAACTCTTCTATAAAGATTGATTCTCTGTCTGAGACAATGTTCACAGACAACTCATGCAACTAAATCATATCACAGATAAAAATATAAGTCAAATTCTTTGACTTCAAGTTCTTACAGATGAGTATAAAGTGTGTTATCTTGATAAAGTAATTCACTATCATCAGCACACTGTCAAAACAGACATCATATATGTTCTTGCTTTCTGAGAGACTCACAAGAGCATTTATTCCTAGCTGTTCTCAAGGTTCTCACAGAATGAGTAGAGAAGTAAGTTCTTTATATAGTCTGAATCATACTACTCATAAATTCTGACAAACAGCACAAGAATTCACTATCTTCTTTATAAGTTCTCACATCTTCAGTCAGAAGTATTTTCTTATAAGCAACTCATGAGTTCTAGTATCTGTAAAATGATCTGTTAGAGAAGAGTCATGATATCTTTTAATAAGTTCTATACATAGAAACTCATTTATAGATACATAAATTCAGTCCTCTCTTTATAAGAGATTATTTAAGTCTCTTTAATTCTTTATTTCTGCAGAATTGATCTCTGCTATGAGCAGTTTCTGAATATACTAAACATATTTATTCTTCAGTTGCAGTTCAGACAATCTGAATAGAAGATCTTATAAAGACTTATACTCTATTTTCTCTTATATTAGATCTTTCACAGTGCTTCTCAAAGCCTGCAAACTCTTCAGATTATAGATACTCTCTTCAAGAATTCTCATAAAGATTTTCAGAGTGTTAACTCTCAGTGTTGTAGAGAGTAGTTGTACAGACTTCTTCTCTTTCTCTTCTCTCTTCTCTTACAGAGAATTGAGAGACTCTTCAGTCAATCTCTTCATAACACTCAGTCTGAGCATTTTATAAAGCTTTTCTATCTTCTCTAGTCTCTCTGTGTCTATCATTCTGATCTTCTTAACATAGTCTGATCTGTGAGAGAATTCATTCACTGAGTTCTTAGTTCTCTTGATATGTTCTATCTTGAATCAAAACTCACTCAGTCTCTGAGCTCAGTAAATCTACTACTGTGAGAGTTTCTTGATTGAAGTAAACTGTTACAAGCTATCATGATCAGTTCTAACAGTAATCACTATTATAAGGCTCTCAAAGTAGTGATATCAGTGATGAAAGAATTTCACTATTATAAGAAACTTCTGATTATAAATATCATAGTTAATCTTCATCAGTTGCATCTTTCATAAGAAAAAGATCACTGAAACCCAGTTCTCATTTAACTGTAGTTATAAGACTATTTCTGAAATCACAAAGAAGAAGATATCTATCTTTAATCTGATTAAGAGTAAGAGATTAAAGTGAAACAGCATCACTATATTCATGAATATCTGTTTCAATCTTATAAAGATCTTATAAGCTTCTGAGATAAGAAAGTTCTTACAGTTCTTTCTTCTTAACAATCTTTTTATTCTCTGTTTATAGAATGACTTCTTCTTATTTTCACTCTTCAGTATATCTGTAAGAGTCAAGAAGATTCTTACAAATATAAAGATAAATCATCTATAGAAATTCATAAAGCTCAGAAAGATCTGAATCTCATGAATACTAGTTAACTTCAGTCATAATAGAATAGTCTTAATCTGTGAAGATTTCATCTGAATATTATTTATGATAATTATATATTCTAGAAAATTAATCTGACAGACACTGAAGTTGTACTTTATAAGCTTAATATACAGTTCTGCCTCATCTAAGACCTTTAACACACTTTGTACATGCTCAGTGTGTTCTTTCTTCTTTATAAAGTACATTATCACATCATTCAGATATATTATTATGAAGATATTCAGATATGCATGAAGTATTTTATTGATGAAAGACTGAAATACTGTGAGAATATTAGTCAGATCAAAAGATATTACTAGATATTCAAATAATTTCAGTGCAGTTCTAAAGACAGTCTTTTATTCATTCTCAGACTGTATTTGCAGCTGTGTATATACATTGATCACATTCAGTTATATGAATATGACAGCTCTCATGAGACAGTTAATCACATTCTCAATCAGAGATAGAAAGTAGCAGCTCTTTATTATCTTGAAGTTCAGATTATAATAATCTACATATAATCTGAGATCTTCATTCTTCTTCTTCACAAATATCACAGAGGCTCCCACAGAGGTCTGTGAAGATCAGATAAAGTCATTCTTCAGATTCTTCTTTACATAGATCTGTAAGATCTCTGTCTTGTAATGAGAGAGCTTATAGATTAATTTTCGGAAGAGTTTCTACTCT